TAAGTTTTTAATTTTACATAGTTTTTGGTTTAGATTGTTTTGTGCACATTTGGCTTCCTATTACTAGAGTGCCTTGATAGAGAGAGTGTGGCCATATGGAGTGATAAGATATGAAAGAGAATAGGCCGCCATTAGTTGGCTAAACTAAAATTTATCACAGTATATTATAATAGTTATTAACGTATTACATATTATTATTTTATAGTTTTTATTTCAAATTTTTCACAAATATTCATTTTTAAGATTTATGATATAGTCTAAATTAATATGTTGAAGTCTTACGTTTTCGTTATTATATTCTAACAAGTATAGAATATTTATTTTAAAAAGAACGATTACAAATTACCAAGTAATATAATTTCTAAGAAATATTCCCTGTTAAATTATATTAAAAAAATAATAACCATTTATACTGGTAAATGGTAAATATGGTTTTACCATAATGATTATGTAAAATAAAAATGTATTACTCTTGGTAAATTAATTTATAATTTGCTTGTTTCATACTTGCAATGTTACATATTATTGTAGTAGAAAAGCAATTTATTGTAAATGTTAGGTAACATTTGTACTAACTCTTGTAACATCATTTAGTAATTGCACATCTGAAAATTAAAGTAATACTTTAAAACCAAATCAATGTATATAAATTATATCTAATAATAAATAAGCACATTCATTTTGTGATAATATCATATTATACATACTTAACATTTTTAGCTTGAAAGCACTATTAATTAGCTGCATTATATTCTTTTAAAAAGTAAAAGAAAATTCTGTTACACATTAAATACAAAATTAAAAATTTTTAAACAAAACAACATATTAAATGTCTAATAAGAATATAATATTATAATAGCCAAACGCAAAACAGAATAAAAAAACAGTATAATAAGCATAAGCATAATTTTTAATCACAAGAGCATAAATCTAAAGATAACATTACTTTGAAGATGTATTCAAACAAATAATATGATAAAAAAATATCTATTTGAAATACAATTTTATAATAATAATTCTCTAAGCATGTGAAGCAATAGATTTGCTACTATATTTATTAAGAAGTTTAAGCTTTTTTTTCCCAGCTATCTTTAAGCAAAAAAGAACAAATCTAGATATAATAGTATTCTTTAAGTTATGACAATCTGGAATGTGTTGAATTTCAATTTTTTTCATTTGTTCAATAAAAATTTTTTTTATGTTACAATTTTGATTTTTCACAGTATTATAATATTTTCTGAAAATATTTTCCATGACCAAAAAATAATTAAATGTAATTTCGTTACAAAAAAACAAGCAACCTTTTTTATAGCGTTTAAGTTTAGATAATTTTGCAAAAGAAGCATTAATGCTATTTTTAGAGCCTACTGAACTCGAGCAATTCGTACACATTTTTGATTTTTTTTTAATACTATGTATTAAATAGCCGCATACATTGTAAAGAGAGTTTAACTCACCATTGCAAAGTTTGATTTCAGGTGCACTTATTTCTAATGGCAGCTGAATGTTTTGTAATTGGTTTTCAACTACTTCAGTGTTTAACCCTTCAATGCCCAATTTTTTTAATTTTAAATTTCTAAATTTTTTTTTAATCATTAAAACACGAGGAAATTGGGAAAAATAAGTAAAAAAATCAAAACATGAAACTTTTTTATTAAACTTAAACTTGAACTATGTAGCATATATGCAACAGTGGGTCATAATAAGTCAACATTTTAATATTCACATATGATAATTAGTAAAACAATTTTTGTTACGGTTTAAACATAAAAACACAGTACATTTTGTACATTTTAAGTAAGTAAAACCTTTGCATGAAGGCATTTTACATCTTTCCCGTTTGTCCGTAATCTGAGGCCAGTGGTCAAACTTATCAGTACGCACTTCTTTAATGGGGCGGAATGACTGTGGTCTTGTACTAGCAATTTTTACTTCTAAAGAACTTGATGGTCGTCCACGTCCACTTGTCCTGATTTGTCCCGATTGGATTAATGTAAATGCTAATTGTTTTCTCCAATCAGCCAATTCTATGTTTGAATTTTCTTTTTTTATTTCTTTAACTCTTTTAAAGAGCGTCCACGAGTTTACAACCGTAAGATCAATTAAATGGTAAAATAAACGCATATACCATTTGTGAGAACGAAAACGAATCTTATATCGGCCAATATGGCTATCTAAGAGATCAACTCCCCCCATGTGCTTATTATACTCTTTTATAAGCATCGGGCAATCAATAATAATATTTGATTTTTTTATACGGTCAAATCTGGTCATTTCGGATTTTGGAATTTCTCCACAGTATGTTGATACTAACTTGACTGCCTTGTTATCTTTCCATGTCACTGCAGATATTGGTGCGGACTTATAAGATGTAATATATTCAATTGAATCTCCTCTTTTCATTTTTTTTTCTTGATTTTTATCTGGTAAAGGACAGTTAGGAAGTCGATTAAGTCTCACTGTACCTAAACTATATATATTTTTGTTGTACAAGTATTCCATCATCGGTATAGCAGTGTAATAGTTGTCGAAATATATTTTATGGTTGCTGTTGACTGGTACATTTCTTGTTAATCGTATCACCACATTTGATGACGCTCCAAAATCTGGTTCAGTTGTTTTTCTAAATATTGGATTGTTTTCTTGGCCCGAGTAAATTTCGAAACGATAAGCATATCCCTGTGTATCTGTCAAAATAAATAGTTTAAATCCCCATTTGTGTGGTTTATCTGGTAGATACTGCTTCATATAACTTTTAGCTTTAGTAGCACATAACTGTTCGTCTAATGATAAAGTTTCTTTACAAGGAATAGACGAAAAGCGATTATTTAAATGATCAATTATAGGTCTCAATTTATGAAGACGATCGTGGTTCGGGTTATTTGGCAATAACATTGTTGCATTATTATTGAAATGTAATACACTTTTTATAAGCTCAAATCTATTACGACTCATAGTATTATATATCAAAGGAAAGCCTAAATCAACCGACCAATAGTCCCTGATTTTTGGCACATGCAGCACAGAAGCATAAATGCAAATGCCCAAATACCTTTTTATTTCATCAATACTTAGTGTGACTGGTTTATTGGGATTTAATTGAACTGAATACAATTCAGTTTCTTCTTTTATTTTAATCAAAAGCTCATTGTTGAAAAAGTAAGCAAAGAAGTCAAGCGGTGTTTCAAGCGAAAGCAAATCATTATGAAGCGTAGGTTCATTAAATTTTAAACATGCAGAGGGTGTGATCAAATTACCTTTTTTCCATTTTAAATTTGTCAATTCAATATTTTTTTCTTTTGGTCTTGAATGGGATTGATTGGTAGTATTGCTAGTACTTTCTGTTGGTGAGGAAAATGCCTGTCTTATACTGCGTCTAGGTGTTGTGTTTTGGTTTTGATAAGTCAAATTTGATTTCGAATCTGAAGGTAGAATTAATGTTTCACCAGTGTCAAACTGCATTTCCACAGGCAAATCCAATAAGTCAAAACTCACTAAAAAATTATAAAATTTGTATGAATTATATATTTTTTTTAAATTTTTGTTTTGTTCTAGTTGTTAAAATAATAATTAATTTACCTTCATCATTTACATTAGTAGGATAATCAACATGTTCAGGTATTTGTACATTGTTAAGGTCTTGTTCGTGGTCAGAATTATCTAAACCATCTTCACTGTCTGACCAATTTGTGTTAAAAAGGATCTGTAATAGTTCTTCGTCGTTGAGTTTATTACGATTCATATCGTTACCTTCTTGCCCACTGTAGCAAATATGCAACATGATTAAAATGTATTGTAATTCATAAAAAAATGAATAAAATGTATGGTTCTTTACTTAAATAGAATCTATAAGACTTACCTGAATACGTAGAATTTTTGTTTGACGAATAAATTAGTATTTAAGACACAAAAAAACTTAAAAAAAAAAAGCTCGCAACGGTTGTTTTGATGATATGATAAGAAAACATTTTTTGGCGGGAAACTAAGCAATGGTTATCAACTAAATCACTATTGTGTTTATAACAGCTGATAGGTAGTTATTTCTTAAACAAATAGAGAGCACTACCTAATTAAAAAATATTATATTTCATATAATATAATTTAATTTGAAACATGTTGCATTTCTGCTACAATGGGCACTGAAGGGTTAAAGTGTCCAAAAATCCCGATAAAAATGTTCTGTCATCTTCCTCATAACTCCCTGTTGATACTTCCTTTAAATATTGAGATACAGATAACAATTTCAAATTATTTTTCACTTGCAACGCATTTGGTACTATGTTCTTTGATCTCAAAATACTAAATACATTTTCAAGGCAATCCTGAGTAAATCTTGAAGTCAAGAGAAATTTAAATCCTTTATCAATTAGGTAAATTTTTTGAATATCTAAAATTGATTTTGTTGCTAGTATGGAACCAGTTTGAGACGGTTTCCACATCCTTTTATGTCCTACTTCTAGATCTGACATAATATCTATAAAATTATTTAAAAATTGTATGGTTTCTTCATAAATGTCTGGTTTCAATTTGCTTAAAGCTAAAACTGGATGTCTGGATGTCATCAAGGAAAACCATCTATCTATTAAGTTAATAAACCAAGCAGTTGTAAGATATTCTGGCTTATTTAATTCTTCAGACAAGAATCTTAAGGCAGTATATACATCATGATTTATTACATTAGTTGATTTTCCAACCTTCATTTTTTGAAAATGGTTTGGCATCAAATCTTGTTCAGACAGTTTAGGAACTAATAAAAAATCTAATTTTTCTTGATACTTAATAACATCTTCAATATGATTTGAACTAATTTTATTTGTAGGAAGATTGTGAAGTTGCTGTATTTTATTGCTAATAAATATTTCTTTATTAATTATTAACATATTCTTAATATTCTTAAAAAGATGAGGTACGTCTGGAATAACAAACAATTTCCTATTGTCATCAAGGGGATGAGGTAGACAGTTTGACAATTTACAGTTACGCCCAGCAGTTATATTCCATTTCCTCCACAAACTTTGGTTACTGGGCCCCATATCCGATATAAGAGCAACAACATTCAATCCTATAGACTCTGTTTTGGAAATTATATCAACTACAATACTATGATAAACATTGCCATTAACAGACTTCCCGGTAAAATAATATGCTACTGTTTGTTTCCATCTTGTACTTATGCCACCAAGCATAAAAACTAAAACACTCGTGGCTGTTCCTTCATGATGAGGTAAAGTTACTTGTCCTATGTTTTTATTTGAAGACACATCAAATAAATTTGATGGTGTTATAGCCATTTCGTCCATTATTAAGACACACTCTTTTTCATGGCCATTCTTAAATGTTTGAATTTTTATTTCCAGAAAATTAAAAACTTCATGTAAAATTCCAGGTTCAAACTTTAAATTTTGAATTCTTCTTCGCAATGTTCTTAAAGATGGCAATGGAGTTTTTTGTTTAATTAATTCTTGATAGCCATTGTTACCACAGCTAAATTTAAGTTTTAATGCCTTTGTTACTGTGCAGTTTGACCATTTCATAAATTTTGTTGATTTCCTATTCATTGCTTTAATCTGATCACTATTAAAGACTGAATTTAGGATTGCAGTGTTATTTTCATACATTTCTAATTTTTTAGACACATATTGAAGGCGATTTTTAAATATATTCATCTTTGCAACCGAATTTTTATACTGCCGTTCGTAATTAACCATCTTCTTAAACATACTTTCATAACTAATTTTACTGTGGTTTACCTGGTCTTCTTCATTTATAGTTATGTTATCTGATGTATACTGATTTTGTATTTCTAATGCATTTTGCTCAGGGATATTCTTCTTCAAGGGAGATTTAATTTTCCTTACTGTGGGGAGTTTTCTTTTCGGTATTTTTTTGGTAAAAAAAAACTGAGTAGGCACAGCATCACATTTTAACCGTTTGCTACCATCTTCTCTAGTTTTTTCCCACATTTGATCTTCAAAATGAACCTTAAAATCATTAATGAATATTATGCAGTTTTATATTTCAAAATTAACTTAATTATAAGTAGTACTTATTATATAGGTAACTGTAAATAAAACATCAATAAATATCAAGTTAAACAAACAATAAATATTTTTTCAGCCTACTTTATTTCAAAAATACATAGGTACATATCTACATAAGCAAATTTCTTGTGAGAATAGTATTTTATATTTATATTAATTAATTTCTGTAAAAATATATATATTTAGAAATATGTCAAGTTAAAAGAATAAATAAAATGTAAAATAATTGCTAATATACAATATTATACATGTAAAAAATTAAGTAGGTAAGTAGCTACTTCCTCTTCAGAAAATATACTCTGGTAAATACACATTAAATAATAAATACATGTAGGTACCAACCTATATTAAACTTTTTTAAATCAACTATAATAAGTCATTTAAATATACCTAGGTAGTCTACTTACTTCACACAAACATGAATAATTTGTTGGTACCCAATTATCCCTCTTCATTTTTACCAGCCACATTTTCCTTCTGGCAGCATCTTTAGGGAAATGTTTCATAAGAAATCCTTTTTTGTTAGAATTTGTGCATCCAACAGCTGCACACCCAGGCATGTTTCAAATTGTGTTTAAACTATAGTGCATATTATAAAGTGTACCTATATATTATTATTATATTATTAAATACACTAAATAATTTTATGTCATGATTATAAGTACATGATATCAG